GTCCTCCTCGGCCCCCAGGCCTTCCTCCTACAGGGCCCCCACTCATAGTGCCTTCTGCCCTTGTCCTCTCCGGCCAGGCTCTAGGTGCAGGGTAAGAAGAGGAACTTCCGCAGTGAGCAAGGGAACAGGAAGTGCAAAAAACCACAAGGGAAACAAGTCCTTCAGGGGCCCCTCAGTAGGCCTGGCCTCCTCCTCAGAATAGGCTTGGACCCTCCTCCCTCAGATCGAGGCCCTCCTCCATTTGACTGATTAGATCCATCTTTTTGACCAGATCCTTCTTTCTCACTCACTGGGGGCCATCTCCCTCTGACTTGCTCAGACCCTCCTTCCTCTGGCTGGCATTAAAGAGCTGAGCCATCACAGCACCTCTGCAGGGCTCTTTGTGGAAGGGAGTAGTCATGGAGCTGGCAGCCTCCTTCCTTCTCAAAGCACTCAGCCCAGGGCTGAGGTCTAAGGTCCCTAGTCCAGAAGGGTTACTGCACTAAAACTTTCCCCCTTAATTGCATAGCAAGCCCTTGCGATCCTACCCCACATCCTGAGCCCGGACATTGCCCACAACATATACACCCCAGGCTCACTTCCCTACCCCTTACCCTTGCCTCCCTACAGCTCCCTAATTACTTTCTCCTTATCATCCTCTTTTTCAAAGAAAATAACTTCATAGCATGAATACCTAAATGACATGTTGCTTTTATTGTTTTTGAACTTTTTTTTAGGTTTTTGCCACAGGGCATGTGTGCTTGCCAGAAAGAGATGGTGAGAAATCACCCTCTCCTTGCAAGGGAGGATGGCCATTCTGTAATTCCTTCTCCTCCATTCTCCTGGGATTTTGGGCATGCATGCACACATGCCTGGCATGATTTTCAAGTCGCCAGGTCTAGGACTTGAACTACAGTCAATCATGTGGGAGTCTAGCACCTTAACTACCGCGCCACCTACTGTCCCTGTTTTTGAACTTTTAAAAAGTATGTAAACTTTGGGGCCAGCAGGTGATGTGGTGGTTAAGGCGCTGGATCTCACATAGCCAACTATGCAGTTTGAGTTCCTGGCTTGAAAAACACACTGGGCATGTATGTGTGCATGTATGCTCAAATATCCTGAGAGGAAAGTGGAGGAGAGGGGATTGAGGCATGGCCATCCCCCTTGGGGGATGATTTCTCACGTTCTCTCTTTCTTTCTGTCTCTAATGAGCACATGTGCCCTATAACAAAACCAAACCAAACAGTATGTGAACTTTGGAGACTGGCATTTTCCCTACTTGACATTCTATTTTTATCATAACACTTGTGTAGCTCTTACCATGTATGCCAGACACTGTTCTGGCCCCTTTGCATTTAAAATCCTTTAAATTGACCCAACCCCAGTGGCATAAATTGTAGGGTACTGCTGCTTGATAGCTGAGGCCACGCAGGAAGCTTGGGTTTGGTTCCCCCCCTAGCCTAAACAGGCCAAGCTTGGTAGTGCACAAGCTAGTTGAGAGGCTGGGGCGGGATCATCATGGCACAGTGAGACTGGTCAAGAATACCTCTCTCTGTCTTTGTCTCTCACTCCCCCTCCCTCTATCTTTTATTAAGAAACAAATTCTTTAAATCAGCTAAACCCTCATAACAGCCTGCAGGATACACTCTGTTACCATGTTCATTTTACAGATGAGGGAGCTGAGGCACAGGGTGGTTAAATAATTTGCCAAAGAGCTCCCAGCCAGCGAGCAAAGAGCTCAGATTGCAAGCCTGGCAGGTTGAGTCTGGAGTGCACACTTTCCTCGTTCTGCTCCACACCTTCTCTCCTGTTTTACAAGGACAGATCCTCCAGGGCTGCTGTGCCTGCAGGCTCGAAGCCCTTCTAAATCTAGTCTCAAAGCTCCCACTGTTGTGGCAGTTGCAGCCTCCCACCCTCCCTCCTCTTCCTCTCATGACTCAGCTTATGGTGCCTCTAACTAACTGGGTATGTCATCCTTCTGGGCCTGGTGCCTGGCAGCTTATTGATTAGAGTGGGTATCTACATATCTCTAGTATATGGCACAAACTAGCACTCAGAAAATGTGAATTGAAAGGGGCCCACAGGTGGCGTGGAGGTTAAGATTACTGGATCCCATATGGCCAACTGAGTGGTTTGAGTCCTGGACCTCCCTGCAGCTTGAAAAACACACTGGACTCCTGTGTATATGCCCAAAATCTCAAGAGGAGAATGGTGGTTAAAGGTGTTGGATTCCCACATGGCTGACCACAGTTCAAGTCCCAGACCTGGTGGTTTGCTTTCTTGCTTTCCCTTTCTCTCTCTCTCTCTGATCCAATTAAAAAATAATAACAACAACTGGAATTAAATAATTATTTTTAAAATAACATTAATTTAAAAGTTGTGTGTTTCCTGTTTTTATTTTTAAGAAGCAGGCACGTTTAAAATGTATGTTTTGATCTACTTAAAATGACCTCAAATAGATTCCTATGATTTTAGTCACTGACAGAACAAGTTTTCCCATTCTAGAATGCAGTGATTTATGGGGTCATCAGGAAAGTCATGATGTATTTTTACATAGAAAAACATAGAAACATACATTGTGACTTTTCTGATAAACTAATATTCATCTTAATATCATTTTCATGTTATTCATATTATTGGGTAACTGTAACTCTGCTGACCTGCATCAATAATTATGAGCTGGTTTATTTTCCTTTATGTGTCCCCATCAACTCTTCCTTTTCTGTGCTTGGTGTCAGTAGTGAGGTGATGACCTCAAAGCTAACTTGCTCTCTTGGGCCTCCAAATAGACTTAAAACAAAACTGGAACATTTAACCCAGCATTTCTGGTTCTTCCCAGCAAGAGAGTTGGTCTACCACAAGTCAGTCCACACAGCTGCAAGTAGAAGTTCTTATTTCTCAGTAACACAGTGAGCACCAGAAACCCCTAGGAACCCACACATACCTGATATCTTAGATCCACCGATGCTCCCTCCTATACTTTGAACGTCCTCACCAAAACTTGAGTTCAAATTTAACCCTTGGGACCAGTAGTTGGCGTAATGGCTATGTCGCTGGACTCCCATGTGGTCAACCGCGGTTCGAGTCCCAGACCCAGTGGCTTGAACTCACACCGGGCGCATGTGCATGCATGCCCAAGATCCTGAGAGAGAATGGAGAAGGGATTGTGGTGTGGCCATCCCCCCTGGGGGGTGATTTCTCACTTTCTGTCTCTCTGTCTCTTTCTGGTGGGCATATGCGCCCTAGAGCAAAAAAAAAAAAGAAAAGAAAAAAAAGAAAAATTTTAACCCTTATTGTGAGGTTAAGAGGGTGGAAATTTTTTATTATTTTTTTATTTATATATTTTAAAATTATTATTCATACATTAAATCGCTGTAAAGCATTTAGATTGTGAAGAGACTTTACCCAGTGTGATATACGCCTCAGTCCAGCCGAGTTGAGACCACCATACACATTCCCGTCAACAGATAATAAACCTTATCTGTGTCCTACAAGTGTCTTACTGCTCCATTTCCCTCCCAAATTTTTGTAAAAAATTATTTAGTTATATTTATTATTATTATTATTAAGCTTTCTATAGGGCACGAGTGCTCACCAGACAGAGAGAAGGAAAGTGAGAAAGCAAGTCACCAGGTCCAGGACTCAAACTACAGTCAGCCATGTGGGAGTCCAGCACCTCAACCAGCATGCCATATGCTGACCACAAGAGGGTAGAAATTTAATTCTCTGGGCCTATGAGAGGTAATGTGGATTACATAAGGTTATTGGGGTTTGCCCTGATGACTGAAGACCGGTGGCTTCATAAGAAGAGGGAGAAAGACCAGAAGTGACACATGCTTTTGCCCTCTCACCATGTGATGATGCTCAGTGCCACCTTGGGACTCTGTAGAGAGTTCCCACCAGCAAGATGACCCTCACCAGATGCCAGCCATCGACCTTGGACCTACAGACTCCTGAGCGGAATAAACTTTTATTCTTTATAAAATGATCCAGTCTGTGGTAGACAGTTATAGCAACAGGAAATGGACTAAGACACTTCCCTATCACCCACCCATCCAAAGTCCCCAGGAGACACCAGGAGAACCATTTCTTCTATTTTGTGTTTATTTTGCTTTATGATGGAAAGCTAGTGCCTACAAGATCCTGATCGCCATGCCTCATGCCCTGAGAAGGTATGACACATGCAATATCTTCCATACTCTAGACACCACCATGTGAATGCATAGAGACCTAAGCATGGGGAAGGGCCAACCACTGTGCTTTGACCAAACTGAGACCAAGATGACCAAATTTACCTTGCCACACCATCCTTCTCCCCTTACCCCCCTGCCCCTCTTCGTCCTCTATACCCGAGGGGTGCCTGCTGGGGATAGGCCTGATCTAACGAAGCATCACCTAATCCTCAGCTCCCTTTTAATAAGTAACATTTTGGGAGACCTCCTTTTACCACCCTGAAATGACATGTACATGACAGGACTAGGTCATGTGGGACTGTTCCCCAGAATCTCAGGTCCCTGCCCATTCAAGGCCAAAGCATCCCCATCATTGTGACAACAAAAATCTGCCTACCATGAATTCCCAAGACACACCCCAGGGCAGGCAGCTCAACTGAGACCCTGCATAGAATAAGTAAGTGATTTTAGTTGAGATATTTATGCTGGGATTTACTGCCCTCTTCCCACAAGGCTTCCCTGTCCTCTTCACTCCCACTGCCTGGGGAAAGGAAAAACAACTCAGCATGCCTGGAGCCAGATCCCTCCTCCAGAGTTATCTTACACTGCTCACTGATACCATGGGCAAATGGGTGTTTGAGGGACTCTCCAGTCCTAGTCTCCAGTCCTAGCGTGGGTGGGTAAGGACAGGGTGATCACAGAGAAGCAGAGATCCATGCAGAACAGGGTGATCACAGAGAAGCAGAGATCCGTGTACAGATAGAATGGCTCAGCGGTTAGACTCATAGTCCGCATGGCCTGGGGCAGGCCCTGGCCCTTCTCAGCTGTGTACTTTCTGCCTCAGTATCTTGGTTCTCTCATTGATAAGGTGAAGGTGTTAATATGTACTGTAGTACTTAAGGGTGCTGTGAATAATGAAATAATTTACCTAACATATTTGGGAAAGAGCTTACCACGTTTTATTATGTGTTCACGT